CCAGAGAATGCGCACTCCCATGGCGGATGTATACCGACCGACCTTGTGCGCGTCAAAAGGTGGTCATTGACAAGTTACCTCGTGACGGCTTCTCCTCATCTGAGAACGAATAAACTAAAAACCGCACTTATAAGAATGCTAGGTCATGATTACGAACAGACAAACATGAGATCAAGGTAAGTGGTAGTGAACTTTCCTCCTCACGAACGAAACGCACGTGTTGGGTATCTCTGTCATGGCGTTTCAACAATCCTTTTATCCTCTTTGATGTGTTCTCTCCGTCTGCAGTGCTGGTTGTGTCTTTGCTTCAAATGAGTCGAACTATAGGAGAATCGGTCTGCGTAAAGTAGTGATATACCTTGCTTAAATCGACGAATGCGCAATTCAACTGAATTTTATTCTACCCCTAAACCGTTCGATAGTTCATCTGAAAGAAATCGTCCAGCTATAGCACCCTTTCGATGCCTAACTGCCATGCTACCCGAAGGAAGCACGAGGGTTGGGATACTGCCAGGTTGACCAAGCCTAGATAGGGGAAATCGAGAGGAAGAGGTCAGGTTCGAACCACGGACCTTCCGGCCAGTACATTCTAACTACTTGGCCATCTCGCCTCCACGCCTGGATTGGTGATAAAACGTTTGCAGTGAAATTGCCCAGCTCAGAGACCAGGACCTTCAAGGTCACTCTTAGCTGTTCCACTCTCAGTCCACACATGTGACGACAGTTAATCCAGTGTTATCGGTCATTTTACTTAGCAGGCAATACGGAATCTTAGTAATGTCCGTCCTCCACTCTCGCACTGAACCGGTTTACAACTGAAAACTCTCGATCCGTTTGTTTATTGTGACCAGCACGATCGAACAGAACGCCACCACCTCGCACTGTTCGTCTTCAAGCTGTGAAAAAAAGGAAATAACCGAACGTGAGGGATGAACTCGAGCGTTAGATCCTTCCATCTCGGTTCGCGTACCTTCCGCACTATCTCTGTCTGTCCTAGTTTTTGGACAGAAGCACTGGTATCGAACTTAATTGTAAATCTCAATAAGTTTGGGGATATGTACTCTATCAGACTTCATCTTTGACACAGACATCGGATGTACCCATTAGGTGATGAACCGAAAATTCCACAGTACATCTAGCGTGGGGGCGAGATAGACCAAGTGATTAGAGCGCAATTTACTGACCGGAAGGTCCGTGTTTCGAACCCGACTTCTACCACTCGACTTCCCCTGTCCAGGCTTGGTCAACCTGGCAGTATCCCAGCCCTCGTGCCTCCTTCGTGTGGCATGGCAGCTAGACACCGAAAGGGTGCTACAGCTGGACGATCGACATCTAGTGGTAAGTAAGAGACTGTCTGAAATGAAGAACGTCCAAGTCGCATTCCGGATAAGGATGAAATCTGAAATAAGTCTAGCTGCACCCCTGCCTTTCAGCTGGATAAAGGCAACTTCAACATGACTGATGGGAGCACGAAGCAATTCGGTAATTTTTACTTGGGATTTTGCCCTGTGTTAGAGGCCTGAAAAAGCGGGAATCACCAGTAGTGTGCATCCCGCCAAATTCAGAGTTTGATGGGCCATCTCTTCGCTGATTAGTACTCGCTGATGTAACAATCAGGACGTATACAAACTTCCAAAAGTTAGCACTAAGTTCGAATACTAATCGAGTGAACGACAAAAGAACGGTTGAAATTAGTACGCTCTCACTTGTAAATTATACTTAATAAGTAGGGGTATATGGCTGTACAACTGCGAAATCTTGCTTGTCATGCCTTCCCTTTTGGCACTGATGACCCGAACACCTTTCCAAAAGGGACGCCCCTTGTTTTGTTGTGCCTGCAATGATCCCCAGTGTCCTTTATAT